CTGGCCATTACTGTGGCAACGGTGAGCTGGGACAAAACTGCTTGCTGGTTCAAAAGTAAAGAGGAGTGTTGTGAAGGACAGAGATGAACTCTTTTGTCCTGTAAATATGTCTTTTTCCCATTTCTGAGTACAAAAATTAATTTCTTATTCATTTTCACTTCAACTCTTTACATATTTGGAGGTGACAATAAAATGCCTTTTATGCTTGCATGAAATTTTTTTGTTGGTGCGGGCAGATTGAAATCCATTCCAAGGATGGAGTATAATTATATCATGTGTGGCCCTGTCGATAGGAGTCGACAGGGCCACACTGCGGGAGTAGTTTGAATGGCTTACAAATCTGTTCTACAGAAGCTTTCCCTTCATGCCATGAAAAATATTGGTTACTGATGTTTGCAGTCAGCCATTTCAACGCAAGTTAAGTCTTTGTGCCATATTACTTGGTCTTTGACGTCTGAGGACAGAAATTTAGACTTTATGGAATGACATACATACTAAAAAATCTTTCATTTTGTGACAAAAATATGCTGGATATTTTGTATAAACATAATAAAGTAATAAAATATATTAAATTCCTTCCTTACTTGTCACCGTGGTCTCATTTCACATAGCTGATTGTATCTAGTTTGTGCTTGAAATCCTTTCTTTAGGGTCACAAAACATTAAATTGTGTCTCATTGTGATGCATTTATATTTTGTCAATGACAGAAGACGGAAAAACAGAAGTAGATGAAGAATTTAGAGGCAAAAATGTTTAATTATGGGCTTGAAATGTACTGAAGTCAAAGGACGGAGCACACAAATGGACTGAGTGTAATGTGTTTAATGTCACAGGCTCCTACACGTCTCTACACACTAAAGCAGGATCTCTCTCCAGCCTCTCCTGTCTTGGAGTCTAAACACAGTTGCACCTCAGTAGGGGCTCCATAGCCGTAATAGATTTTTTTAGAATTGGCTAAACTAATTTTCTTAAAGAAGAGTTTGTGGGACTTAATGAGGCATAACTAATGGAGGTCCCACAATCATCAGTGCCATGCTGGAAGCACCGTGGCAGGACAGAGCAGCCATTGATTCTTGCTTCAAACCTCTTGAGTTCCTAATCAGCTTCTTTGGTTGTGCGTTTCAGGCCTGACAAACCTATTGTTGGCCTGTGTCACTGGAGGTCAGTAGTTATTAGTGGCAACTGAAAACAGTTTCTCTAACTACTTATGAGCGAATTGAATAACATGCATAGGGGGACTTGGAGGGGGGATTACTGGCAGCGCAGCGAGTCCGGCCGGCGCAGGAGAGAATGTGACATGGTTTTCTAATAAGGGATGCTGCACCCCCCCCACCACACACACACACACACACACACACTCACTCCTAACCTGGTCCTCCATCCTTCACCCCCCCCCCCCCCCCCCCCCCCCCCCCCCCCCCCCCCCCCCCCCCCCCCCCCCAGTACAGACATTTGTGAATAGTCTTCAAAAGGTTGCTTTGGCCCTGCAATGCCTCATATTGCTAAAATGGTATTCATAGTAAGCAATGGAATTAGCCAGCCCAAGTCCTGGAATAGCATAACGGTGTGTGTGCGCGCATGTGTGTGTGTTCATTTGAGTTCATGTTATCCTCAAACTAAAGGCAACAGCAAAAATGTGGTTTCATGTATTTAATTTCATGGAAATCTATTAGAGGGAGAATTGCTTTCAGAGTCCTATGACCTTCTTGAAATGTTTTTTTTTTTTCACTCTGTAGGAAGATGATTATTTGCAGGTTATTTTTTCCATTTGAAAATGACTGGAATTAGGGAACTTTTTGCTTCCTGGGGAAAAGACTTGCAGACTTGCAGTGACTCATTCTTTTTTTGGAAAGCAAACAAATTGAGCAGGCACAGGTTTGTCATAGAAAAGAGGAGAGAGATTGTCTCTCCTTGGCAGAATGCGAGGGCAATACACTAATTAAAAATCTCGCTCTGTGTCTCTCAGAACTTGCCAATTCAATGCATTCATTCGCACAGTGAAATGAAAGGCGGACCTTGCCTCTCCTAATCATTTCACGTGGGGCAAGATTTGGGGACTGTTTCTGGGGAGGGAAGGAGAGAGGAGGTGGTGGAATTTTTGGGAGTAAACTTTGGATATTAGGCTTAATATCTATTCACATCTATGTATTTACATTATCATACAAAATACCATTACTAATATGAAAATCCTCTCTGTAGAGTGCAGCCACATGATTCTTCCTTTACCTGTGTGTCTTCAGGGAAAATCTTATTCATCCACTATATTCTACTCAGAAACTAGGCCAGTGTATGCTTTTAGCTTTCTGTCTTAATTGCTTTTTTAGTTAAGACCAACTGCACAAAACAACCTGTTGTACCGGGCAGGACTTAACAAAAACGGTGAACTGTGTATGACGAGGGTTATATGTTTGGCCTATGTTTCTGTGTAAACTATGCAGCCAATAATGTTAAGCCCTTGCCAATTAGCACTCTCTAGGTTGCTAGGTCGCCATGGTCAATTGAGGAACACATCAATAGGACTTGAAAAGGTTTCTCTACGATCAGACCTTCTGACATATTAAGTAGAATAATGGGGAGGACGGGAGTTGGGGTGGGGGGATGCAGAGTCTGAAGCAAGGCTTCCTTCCACATTCACATTATGCGGTGCAACCTGCAATTACCTGAAAAGAATAGTCTAGAAAATTCTTTACATCAGTGAAATAGATTACCTTCCGCTTTGTGCTGTATTCTAACAGTATACATGGCATTGAAGTAGTCACAGACTCCTTCCAGCCCTCATAAAAATATCCACTTTGTGTACAATTTGGATAATGTATGACTCATTTGTTGCTTGATTTGTGAATGTGGAGCTGCGTGTGCATGCACATCTACTTATGTGTATGCACGTGCACGTGTGTGTGGGTGTTCTGCAACTACATACATGGAAGTAACACCACACAGTAGTGGCTGCAGCCTAAAAAAAAATAAAAAACTTTCCAGACAGAAATGATGATGCCAGCACCAATTACAGTGCCCAGCCTGTCTCATATATCCTTACAAAGAGAGGTACCCCCCAATAAACTGAGAGAAGCAACAGGCACAATAGCCAGTGATTACCAAGCATAGCCTATTAGTGCGCCATAACTGTGGCTATTGAAAAGAGAAAAGAATGGCTTCACCTCCACTTTCATTTCACGTGGTACACCATCATAAATCTTTGTTGACAGCTCATTCATGCCCTCAATTTGGAGACAAAATCTGTCAGGAACACCTTGCAGCATCAAAGTGTACATTGTGAAATGCATTTCTCTTTTTAATGCTCTTATCAAACTCCCTTCTGATGGAGTTGCCGCGCTCAATTCCAAATGTCAGGTGCATATTGGCTCTGATGCTTCCTTCGAGTGTAGGGATGATAGCACATATACATACAGCTGCCAGGTATGTGAAGGGGTTGGAAATAGGGGCTCTCCAAGGTCTCCATTGAGACACACTGATAGCCATCATCATCATCACAGGGTGTCATCAGCAAGGAGATTGAGAAGTAATTTCCAAACGTGTTTAAATGACCACAGGAAATGAAATGTTAGATCCTATTATCAGCCACTGCTGGTGTAAAATAGGAGGACAGAAGCAAAGGGGGAGCAACACTGATGCTAAGTGATGACCTTAAACACTTTGGAGTTTGTTTGCACAAATCATTCATCTTCTAAAGAGATTGATCAGAATGAGGCTAGTATGTGTGTGTGTGTGTGTGTGTGTGTGTGTACAGTATGTGAGTGTGTGTAAGTGTGTGTGTGTGTGTGTGTGAAGAAACTGTGGCAAAGTGCTGCTGGGTATTTTGCTTGTAGTGCCTTTTAAATGCATCAGAAAAGAATCTGTCATTTAAAATAAAAATATAACACAAAATACATAAATATTTGCAGTGTTTGTTGAAACTTTAGTGTCATCCCTTGAAAATCTTTTTGTTATAATGGTTGTGAAATATTTATGTCAAACAATAATTAGGTCAGAAATACAGAACAAGAAATACGTTTGAAATAACTGAGATTTAACTTTGGGGTTCTGAAACATTTTTGAACAAATACATTGCATTAAATCCAGATAATAATACCATATTCTTTATCACCAACAGTGCGCAAAAAAAAAGGAACTGACGCTCATCCAGCTTCAACTTGCGCTCAAATTCAATTTAAGTAAAAGCTGAAAAATTAAGCAATTTGAATTAAATATCTTAAAAAATAAAATAAAATAAAATTCACAAATTAAGAGACATTTCTTTTGTTATTTGTATGTGATATTTTAAAGTGGTGTTAGAGACCTTTGTTTTCATAAACGTTTAATTTTACGACTGAGGCCTGTGCAGCATAATAATAATAATAATAATAATAATGATAATAATAATGATAATGATAATAATAATAATAATAATGATAATAATAAATGTACCGTATGATTAGAGTGTAATTAACTTTAATGTAGCATCATAATAATGCGAGGCATGTGCTTAATAATAATAATAATAATGATAATAATAAATGTACCGTATGATTAGAGTGTAATTAACTTTAATGTAGCATCATAATAATGCGAGGCATGTGCTCCATTCCTTTAGATATTCGTTGTTGCAATAATTGTCATTGCCTATTTTTTATGGAAGCTCGCATTCATAATAATCTCTTTCACACTGCGGCAAAATTAAGGTCTGGGCCTATTAAACAAAGTAAGATCAATATGTTTGGGGAATTTGTCGAAAAGGAAACATAATTAATATTTGAAAGCATAAAATAAAGTCACTATAAAACCTGGTGGGAAGTGATAGGGATTTATCAAAGGGTGATTTCCCGGGCTCAGAGACTTGCAGACATCCTCCATGAAAGGCAGCCCTCCAAAATGTCACCTGAACAATGCTGGCTCCCTCATCGACCTTGCTTTCCTGCTCAATTTGGTCTCAATCACAACATAATGAAAATGCACTCCAAAACAGATCCCTTTTAAAAAATTACTTCTTCAGGAATAGCTCTCACACTTCAAGTTATTTATTGTTAACGTTCACTTGGTTTTGAAACATATACAGCAGCCATCACGCTTTTTTTCCTTTTTAACTTACAAAAGAATAAAGAAAACATAAAAGTGGACGCAATAACGATTATTATACAGTTAAACGCATTCTTGTGTGTTAGCCAAATATACAAGTCCCTACTTTATTTAATAAGTCTAAATGAATACATTAGTTTACAATATTAATATGATAAAATACCAGGTTATCACCGTAAATAAGGAGTGGTGGCTTAGTGTACTTCAAACCTGATCCCACCTTCACCCCCCTCCCCAGTCCGAACTCAAGTGAAGCAGCATTCCTTTTTGTTTCAACAACATAGACTACGTTTAAAACATCATGAGGAAGGTCCAAAACATGGATTACAAAAGGTCCAGAAACGACATAATTGCTTTCAAGGGCAGCCATTTCTGTAATGTTCAAAAATAGACTCCCCTCTCAGAGATGTCAAGAAAATGTGCCCTGATCAGCTGGTGCGCCTCTGTGCGCCTTGTCCCCTCCAACACCAAAGGGCCCCCGTGTTCAGCCTTCATATATATTTATATATGAACATATATGTATGAACATATATAGACATATGTTCACATATATATATTTGCTCTTGCATGGGCTCATCCGCAGGTTCACATAGAAAAAGTGAAAAGTGACAGTACTGTATTAAGTCCTACCACGTTCTGCCGTAGAGGAGGTTTGAGCTGACCATGTTACTGGTGTAATCTACAGCAGATGTGTCTATCTGGGCCATGTTGAGCTGGCTGTGCAGTGAGGGGGGGCTGGGCGACATCTCCTCCAGCTCCAAAGCGTTCACCTGCTGCTGGCTTTGATGCTGGGTGAGGCTGCTGGTCGGGGATGCGAGCACAACTCCGGCTCCGTTCTGTTGCTGGCTCTGTTGTTGGGTCTGTTGTACCTGTTGCTGGTTCGGCGTCGGCGTGTTGGAGCCGTTCTGGCACGGTTTACCGTCCTTCACCAGAACTGGCACGGCTACGCGCCTCGGGGACTGCGCCTGCTGTTGGCACAGGTTACCGTCCTGTTGCTGCTGCTGCAGCTGCTGCGCTGCCTTGTCCTTGGCCTGGCGCTTCATCTTGTACCGGTGGTTCTGAAACCAGATCTTCACCTGGGTCGGGGTCAGGTGGATCATGCTGGCCAGGTGCTCCCTCTCAGGCGCCGACAGGTATTTCTGCTGCTTAAACCTCCGCTCCAGCTCGTAGACCTGAGCCTGCGAGAACAGGACGCGCCGTTTCCTCCTGGGCGCAGCGTGGAGAGCTGGCATGGATTTGGTGGCGTCCGCCATTCCTGAGAGACTCCCCATGCCGGTCATGTTCATACCTGTGGAAGGTCCCATGAATCTAGAAACTTAAAAATATACATACATATACGTGCGTTCAATAAACAGAAGAGGAGAACACTGTTTCGCCTGAAGTAGTCTTTATTGATTATTGACTGTTATATGCGTAAAATATTAAAGTTAGAAAGCATTAGCTTAAAAAACACATATGATAATAATAATAATAACAGTAGTAATAACGATAAAATAATAATAATAATAATAATAATGAAAATAATATTATTAATCATAATAATAATAATAAATATCTAGATCTTGCTTGTAAATATTTGCTCATGCCAAAGATAAAAAAAAAAGTCGAAACAGACTTGAAAGAATGATCTCCTTTTCAGTTTAACCATCAGAAGTATTCATTTTAAATGAAAGATTTCTTAAAATAATGTACACTATTTGCATAAACTTTTTTTTTATCGTCAGCACCCAAACATGAATTAAATATTTGTTAAAAGCGATACACATTTGTTCTCGCGCATTTCCCTCTCTCATTCCTGAAATGTCAATTTTTTTTTTCTTTCCCCTCACAATGAAATAAAATGAGAAAAGTGTGCATAAATAGAATAAAGAACTTACTTGTGGAGTATCTGGGATCAGGGTTGGCGCTGTACCACCCTGTTGCTGCTGCACTATTCCGCATGCTTTCCTGGTACGACGGGAGGTCTCCCATGTTGCCAATGCTTCCATTGCAGTATCCCCCCATAGCGCTGTGGGAGAACTGGGAGACGGTGTGCGGCATGTGGTAAGTGGTGGCCACGGTGGCGTTATGGCCCATGGAGTGCTGTTGCATGCCGGTCTGAGACACCTGAGGCTGTCGGTAGGCTCCCAGTGGAGAGGTTAGGTTCCCTGCGCCGTCCATGCCACTAAACTTCTTGTAGGTCTCCTCGATTGGACTCAAAATATCTGTCACTGAAAAAGGCGTAGTGTGCTTTGGGCTCAACGACATGATTCAGAAAGCAGGTAGATTTTTGTGTTTGAGCAGATCAACCGTGTTGTTGTATCGGCTCTCTCCTTGGTGGATGTCTACGTAAGAGAGTGCTTGTAGAGCGCCTGAGATCCTATTGATCGCCTTGGAGAAGGAGGCGAGCCCAGGGCGCTCTTAGCCCGGGTTTATTGGAGCCAGGAGCCAGGTTTACGACAAACACAGGGGGCGGAGCAAAACTCCTAAACCAGCAAACAATAGTCATTGACATTTTAGGGAAATAATTCATGAAAATACACTTTGCTTTATATTAACTTGTATATACATGAATAAAACGACGCCACATGTTTATGATTCTGTCCTTTCTGATATACAGGTGAGAATAACCCCTTATGTGCTGCACATCAGCTGGTATGACCACATATGACTATTTTGCGTCAGTAGGGAATTCCACTCTTTCTAGAAACTTTGAGAGCACTTTGAACAGACATAAGGGGCCACCGAGTATCATCAAAGAGCCACAATGAAGTTGTATGACCGGCTCATTTATGCTTCTTAAGCATCATTTTGGCCCCAACAGAAAGGCACAAGTCCAAATAAGCTCAAAATGACAAAAATGCTGAGAGGGAGCGGCGATAGGGATCCAACCTGTGAGTATATCACCACCCAACATCCATCATCAGCTGTGGAATATAATACACAGGATTTATATATATTATATTTTGCCAAAAAGTGACCACTAGTGCAATTTTCCTGACCCAAATTTCTGCTGCTGGTGGATTTAATTCAGGGTGAATCTCAATTTTATACATTTCTTTAAAATAAAACAAAACAGTTTCATCTGACTGAATTTGGAGACAATGTTATAAGCCTCAAACCGTCAAGTGTGGTCACCATGCACTAATGACACTCTGCAGTCTTGACCTGACATTGTAATCTCTGAGCAAACTGTCTGGCGCCAGGGGAAGAATCAGAGGAAGAGACACACAACAGGGGAGGTCAAAAGAGAAAAGACTTGCTACAAATTGCAATAATGAACACCAGTTAATGTAGCTTCCCATTACAGCCTAACATGTGTCCTTTATGGATCCATATTACCGCGCCTATGGCTCATAACCATCCAATAATTGAGAGGGGTTGCTATCATGCTGCTCATAAATAAAATCATGATGATATTTGTATGTTTTGCATCACTACCAACACCTCACAGCAACAGCAGGAGCAGGTGTTGTGCGTCGAGGTTATTTTTTTCCAGACGTGAAATGTGCTCCCATCTTCCTTTTACTGGAGGAAGGAAACACTCGTCTCCATGAAGCCACTAATGTAATTTAGCATGGCATGGCAGCAAGTAGCTACCTACCCTAATTGAGCAATTGAAGACGTGACATGGTCAGCCATCAATTATAGCGACATATCAAGAATGCCAATCTCCGGTGGAGTTGATGGCCTGATTGTAATAAATTATTGTTCTTGTGCATGTTTCAGTGCCCACATTTGTTCTCCCTGTCTTGATCCCCAGGTGCCTGGATTCCGCAGCGGATTTATTGTGAAGTGGTCGGACTTTGTTGTTGTTGAGGTAAACCAAACAATGCATGCGTATTCCAAAGTCAGCTGGAGTTGTCAGAAAGACGCCGAAGTAGAAAAAGCATCCAAAAATGAAACGTGTTTGACGAGAGGCGGGTAACAGGTGTAAACCAAATGCTCTCAGTTAAAAAAAAAAGTAAATTTCCTATCAATATAAGAAAATCAACTCCTTTCTCATATAAAGTAATATTTCATACCTCTAATATTCCAGACTCCCGTGCGCCTTTTTCACTCTTTTGCCAGCGACAGCATGGTGTCTTTTCAGGGCGAAAGAAAGGTAGGCCTCGGCCCAGACCTCTAACATTATGTAAATGAGGCAAACCTCTCAACCTTGTGGATTACTGAGTCAGAGAGCAGGACCCTGGTCCACAGACCCTCCACATTAGGATCCCATAAAAATCTGGAGCTGGTTGGCTGCATGCAACGAGTATGAGGGCTTATACACCACATTAATGTAGTTGTCAGTCTAAGTTAACTTTCTTTTCTTTTACATCCAGTGAATATAATGTGGCCAAAGCAGCGGGAGCGGGATACACGGACGCGCCAAGGACAAGGTGGACAAGGCCCAGCAAAGGTTTGTTCATAAATCTGTCACATATACAGAGAAAATACCTAAAACTGACAAAGCCTTTTGCAGCTGTTTAAGATAATTGTTACTGGGTAGATCGTGTTGCTGTGTGTGTGCAAGATACAATCAGCGTGTGTGATGCATGCTGACAAACACCATGCAATATATTCATTTGAATTAGCCTACACTGACCTTTGCCGCCCTGAGGAGAATTAGTGTTGAGAGAAAATATATATTATCCCCAGAATTACGCACGGGACGGTTTGCTCCTTTGTCTTGCTTTTACCTGTAAATACACGCTTTTAAAATCCTGCTCTTTGACTCTGCTAAATTGTCAAACTTTCTCGATAATTTCAGCTGAAAAATAAAAATTACTTAATGCTAACATACAAATTAAAGTGTGCAATAAAAGAATGACAACCAAGTGTTATTCTGTTTGAGCTATGAACCAAGCATTGCCTGCCTCCAGTGACTAAATCATCTGGTATTGTTTGCATTATTGAAACGACTTATGGGTGCAAAGTCGCCCTATCCAAATAAACAGCGCGAGCTTCCTATAGAGACATTATAACCAATTTTCCAATATATGATGTGCACGCGTCGTCGGACCATCAAAGTGTTGTTTATCAGAACAAAATAGCAACCCATTTATGTCGTTTGTATCATACAGACGACCTATATCATCACCCCCCTCAGCTTAGCACAACACAGCAGATGGACCAAAGCACACCAAAGCACCTGGTTACTAAAGTGCTTTTCTCCATCTCGTCGTTGCTGGTTCAATACCCTGAGAGATGTGGAGAGATGGCTGAAGAGCCGGGGTCCTGACCTGCAACCTCAGCCACACACCGCCCGAGCACAAACTGCAGAAAACATTTGGATTTATTCAGTCTAGAAGGCCTTAAATCCTAAACTTTACTTAAGACCGTTTCTCTAACATGCGATTTAATCAAATGCCAAAAACGGTAAGGTGTTTCCACTTTTCTTTTTTCTCTGTGCAGCTTAGATGATTTTTGGCAAGTGAGTAATAGAGAAAACACGCTGCGTTAAAGATTAGATTCTGAATGCCAGTGCACTGCTATCATGAAACCAAAATTAAGGTGTAATTCTGCATGCGTAATTTACGCACGACATTGGCACGTGTTTATTCTATTGTCTGGGGCCCCACTGTGCACTTATTCGATTTCTAGGGATTTGTTATCAATACATCAGGCACTCGTGGAAAGAAAACGGCACGTCTTGGATATGGTTCCTGTAGGAAAAAAGCTAGACTTGCAAAGTACAAATCATGGTGTGATGTGCTCTGTAAAAGTGTGATCACACACTAAACGGCTTCTTTTTGGACTCTTATTTTATTTCTAAATTTGGGGAGAAATGTGATTATATTGATTTTACAAGAAGATGTGAAATCCTTCAGGTTTTACATTATAAATAATTAAATGTCTGGCAATGGAAAAAAGTGAAAATCATTTACTGTTCTTTCAATCAAATAGTAAGCGATTTACCAGCGATATAAATTTAAGTTAAAGGCAAAATGTCTGTGGTTGTGTCAGGCGTTTTCTTCCAAGGAAACATTTTTTTCGTGCGTTATTACGCACGAAATATAACAAGCATGTTTACTATCTCGTCAAGCAGAAATTCCATTTTGAACTTTGAACAGTGACACTGCGTCACAAATGAATTGTCTTCTTCCCTCCAAACTTGGGATCTGTACTGTGGTCGGCTCGGTGGCTGAATCGAGAAATTTGTGGAGAAAATTCCACACCTGCAAGTCAGTGTAGTACCATTTAGATCAAATACTTTCTCTCCTCTTAAATCTCCGAGCAGTGTGAGAGTAAAAAGCGGGCAGGTGCATATCTTTCAGCTGCACTACTTGAAACGTTGCGGTTCCTCAGCTAAGTAGGTTAAAGGTCCTCCCAAGTGGAGAAAGTATGTGACAGGCCTCTTGAAGACCGTATTCTTCTGCAGGAGTTTGCATTCATTCACAATTAATGTCGCTTGATGGACGAAATGATGCTAATAGGGCGCCAAAAAACAGAATATGGGCTTTTATGGGATGCTGACCATAATCTGGCAGTTGGGGAAAATGGTGGAGAATTCAATTTTGCAGTTGGATTAGAGTGTAGAAGTTTAATTTCCACTGCATAACGTGCAGCACTTCATTTTCTTGATTAAGTTACAGTTAGTGTTATAATGAGACACTGGGCACTGACTGTGGGAGGAAGCTTATAACAGGCCATGTTGCATGCATGCAGCAAACTGATTTTTCCACTGGGAACAAGTGGAGTTTTACTGTGTAACACACTGTCTGTTAAACCTCTGGAAGCAGTCAAAGTCAGATTGTTAAATTTTATTAAATTCCCGTCTATGTTTTCCCTGAAAGAAACTATTTATTCAGCTATCAAGGGCACAGAGCACCAAAGGAAAAAATCATGTGACACAGCTTGATACAAAACTGCTGATAGTTATACTCCTTCTGAAAGAGATGATACCACAAAAACACAATATAAATAGTTTGATATTACTTTGGAAACATCAGTCTAGAGTGCAAAGTAAAAATCAAAAATGTTTGAATGATATATTTTGAGTTTAAGACTATTTTAAAGTGCAAGTGTGTGCAGAAGCCACTAACTGATACAGATACTCTTTCACAGGTGAGGCGTTATTTTCTCTTGTTTTAAAAATGATTCAGCCATATTCCAGCTGTCTCTGCACTTATGCAAACACAAGTGTTAGCTATATATTTTTGGGTTATCAGATTTCACTGTGTTGCATTTAAATCCCAAGCTGAGACATATAAAGACATGAAAATCATACCTTAACCTTCATCTTCAAGCTATAACTCAAACACAGGTTGGGTACTATGTTGATAAGCTCTCACATTAATACGATCTGTTTTATAGATCATATTGTAAACATGCATCAAATAGATGAATAAATAACTTAATACATATACATATAAATAAATAAATTCTGCAATTTGATACT